CTGCACTGCCAGGTGCAGCGCGGAGACGGAGTCCTGGGGTTGGAGGGGGCTTCCCTGGTAAGGGGGGGGCAGGGGAGGGCAGGGCGAAGAGGGAAGGAGAGACGGCAGCGCAAACTGTCAGCAAGCACGGGCTAACTTGTACATGCTGGTGATGTCTCCTAGAGGATCAAGGGCAAGGAGAAAGACCCTTGCGGGGAGGAGGGTCGAGCGGAGAGGAGGGGGAAGAGACGAGAAGTCAGGAGAGAAGGGAGGAGAGGGGAGGGACAGGATCATGGGAGAGGGAAGGGACACAGGGCGGAGGGCCAAAAAAAGGAGGTGAAGGAGGAGGAGGAGGAGGAGGAGGAGGAGGTTTGGGGTGCATCTGCTACAGACGGTCCCTGGTCCCCAAAATCCTGAGAACGGACCAAGAATGCCCGAAGAGACTCCCAAGACGGTCCAAGAGGGCCCCGCATCGCCGAACTATCTGTCCAAAACGCCGTCACGGCCTCCTGAAGGACCATGGGGCCTGCAAAACGCCCAATAAGGCCTCCAGGAGCAATCCCAAGAAGGCCCCTAAAAAGGCAACATTCATGTATTCCCCATAGGTGTTTGGAAGATGTTGGCGTTCTGGCCTCTTCCGCTTCTCGACGCTCCTAGACGGCCTCAGAAGCCCCCACGATCACGCCAAGACGGCCCGAAGTCCTCCAAGAGGTTCCCAACATGACCCAAGAGGGCCCCCAAGCAGCCCGAGACGCCTCTAAGACAGGCCACGAGGCACCCAAGACGGCTCCAAGAGGATGCCCAGACGGGGGACCCGAACGGACATCTCGAGCCATCGCCCCCGAGAAGCTCTCCAGAGGTCCTAAGAAGCCTCCTAGACGCCCCCCAGCAAGCCCCCAGGACGCCCCTGGAGGCCCCCAAGGGTCTCCAAAAAGGCACCCAAAGAGTCTTCCGAAACGCCTTCAAACTGCATACCAAAGGACCCCGAAAGCGCTCCGAAGAGACCAGGACAAGCATCCCCTCCGCCCCCTGCTCCTGACCCTTCTCCTCCTCTTTCTCCGCCTCGTCTTCCTCGTCCTCCACCTGCTCGTTGCCCTTCTCGATATCCTTCTGCCCCAACTTCCCCTCCTCATCCTCCTCTGCATGCTCTTCCTTACCCTCCCCCACATGATCCACGGCGTCATCCTCCTGTTCCCCCTGCTCTTCCTAATGTTCCTCACCATTTCCCTCCTCATAATTCCCCTCCTTCGCATCCTCCTCATCATCCTCATCCTCCTGCCCCTCCTCCTCCTCCTCCTCCCTCCTCCTCCTCCTCTCCTTCGTCTTCTTCTTTCTTCTTCTTCTTCTTCTTCGCTCTTCTTCGTATTATCTCTCTCTTCTTCTTCTCCTCCTCCTCCTCCTCCTCCTCCTCCTCCTCCTCCTCCTCCTCCTCCTCCTCCTCCTCCTCCTCCTCCTCCTCCTCCTCCTCCTCCTCCTCCTCCTCCTCCTCCTCCTCCTCCTCCTCCTCCTCCTCCTCCCCCTCCTCATGCTCCCCCCCCCATTCGCGTACCCTTCTTCAGGCCCTCCGCAACCTTACCTCGACCTCGTCCTTCCCATCCTCCTCTTCCTCGTCCTGCCCCTCCTTCTCCCCCTCCGCGTCCTCCTTCTCCTCCTGCTCCTCCGACTCCCATTATCCTCGTCCTCCAGCTGCTCCGTCCTCCCCCGTCCTCCCGCTGCCCCTGTTCACCCTCCTCATCCTCCTCCGCATCCTCCTCCTCCCCCTCCTCCTGCTCCATCGCGTCCTCCGCCTCCTCCTCCTCCCCCTCCTCCCTCCTCCTCCTCCTCCTCATCCTCGTCCTCCTCGTCGTCGTCTTCAGGGTCGGCGGCCGTAAGGCCTTCACAATAAGGAGGAGGACGAGGAGGATGAGGAGATTTGGGCTGCGTCTCCTACAGACCCCGAAGCCACCAGCAACAGAAGGAGGAGGAGGAGGAGGACAGAGAAAGACACCCCCACTCCCGATCGCGGCAGAAAGTCAAGCCGTTGATCCAGCTGCCAAGATCCGGGGTGGGGAAGGCTTGTCGGCGCCCTTGGGCTGCGAAAATAGACACCAAATCCCTCTCTCGGCAGCTGATCCGGGCTTGCCGGACACGCTGCCGCGATCGGGGGTTTTGGGAGAGGGGTGGTCTTTGAAGGGGCTCAGGGACACACAAACAAATGGACACGAATGCCAGGATTCCCCAAATGCTTGTATATATTCTGGATGTTCGGCTTGCGCCCCCCCTTCCCATACATAGTTTCCCATACTTTCCTGGGGGTCGACGGTGCATTGTGTGTGTGTTTGTCCCTCTTGGGTCTTGTGCATGTTCTGCGAAGGAAGCCTCTTGGCTGTAGACTTCCTGCGGCCACGCGCAGGAGCGGGCCCTGAGCCAGGGCACTCGCGCCCGTCCGGCGCGGGGACAGGCGTGCGATGACGAGGACGACGATGGCGATGAGGATGCTGAGCCAATTTTCCACCAATACTACCATAGGTAGCGCGGGGAAGAAGGATGGGGAGGCCCTCCTCCTCCTCCTTCTAATCTTCCTCCTTCTCCTCCTCCTCCTCCTCCTCCTCCTCCTCCTCCTCCTCATCCCTCTCCTGCCCATGGTAGTGGTGATGGAGAATCGGTCCATCAGAGGATGCTTTTGTGGCAGCTTATGAGAGCCTCTCATGCCGATCTTGCTGGCTCTTGCGCATCGACGCGAATCGACGCCGATCGACGCTCGTTGAGGCCAGCTTGACGCTGGTCGACGCTGACTGGGCGCTGTCTCATCGACTGCCAAACGCCAGCACGCGCGCGAAGGCACCCGAAAGAATGGGCTCCGAGGACACAGGAGGCTCCCATGGTTTGCCGCCGAGGGACGGTGAGGACGAGGACGAGGAGGACGGAGGATGGAGCATCGGGCTGGGCGAAAGGGGGGGATAGCAAGGGGGGGGTTAACAATCAGCTCACGTAGCTGATTGTCTCGGCGCCTCCCGGCGCCGGAGGCGGCCATGTATCGAGGAATGGGCCCCTCGGTGTGGGGCCGAAACCAGCTGCGTGCAGCAAATTTCGTAGCCCCCCCTTTCCCTATCCCCCCCTCTCGTCCGGCCCGAGAGGAGGGGGAGCGGGGAAGAGGGGACGAGGAGCAGAGGAGGAGGAGGAGGAGGAGGAGGAGGAGGAGGAGTAGGAGGACGAGGAGGAGGAGGGGACGAGGAGAGGAGGAGGAGGAGGAGGAGGAGGAGGAGGAGGAGGAGGAGGAGGAGGAGGAGAAGAGGGGAAGCTGGTTCCTGGTTCTTGGTGTTGATGTCGGCGCGGTTGTCCAGCAGGGCGCGGATGGCCCCCTGTTGCCAACGCGTCGGCTGCGCTCTGTCCCCGCGCTCCGTCCCTCCGCCTGTGCCTGCCTACCAGACCACCCCGACCCAAGCCAAAGACCCGACTTTCGGGTCGGCGGGGGGGGCACGGGCTTCACATATGCTGTTTCTTCCATGTTCCCCGACCCCCTCCCCCCCCCCTGGATGTGGCGGGCAAGTCGGGGCCTTCGGGCTGGCTTGGGGCGGTTTGGTGGGCGGTGGTCTTGCCCGGCCTGGAGCGCGCGAGGACGCCGGCCGTACACCCAACACCGATGCTCGACGAGCGCCTTCCACCACTCGCGAAGTAGCTGCTCGCTAATGGCCTGGATCCCCCGAGGGGGATCTGCAATACATTATTCCAAAGCGGGCAGGTGTTTTGCGGACGTCCGCGAGCAGGTACTCTGCGAGTCGCGGAACGCGCTCGGCGCGGTGCTGGCCAGGCAGCTCCTGGGCCCAGGATCGGCGACTACCAAGACAGGCCACGGGCGCGGCGCTGGCCATCGCTCGGACGTCCATTTCCTGTGTTTTGTTTCGGTTTCGTGCGTGTTTTTTTCGCCAAATGGTCAAGGATGCTCCTCGATGGTCCTCGCCGAAGGAACAATGCACACGTCCGAGCGATGCCAAGGGCGAGCCTCTCCGCAAGGATCCGCGCCCTCGCGGTCTGGCCTTCCGGGGGCGCGACGCCGCGCGCTGCGCGGTCGCATGGATACAATCTGCGCGGGGTCGCGGCCCCGAGAACGGGCCCGCGAGGCCGCGGACACGAATACGGTCGGACTCGACTGGGCAGGACACGCGAGAGGACACGAGACCCTTCCGAGGGCCACGTTGCCACAGGAAGGTGGGAAGCATGGGTCGCGAGGCACAGGACGCAAGGGTACCCTTGACTTGGCAGGGTCGACCTGCTCATCTGGGCCGACTGCTCGCTATTCGCCCACGAAGGCACGACTTGAGAATCGTCGGCTCAGGGCAGGCCAGGGGTCTCCGAGAGCCGGCTGACCTGCAGGCGCTGCGGCCGCGTCAGGGCGCCGCGGCATGCTCTGGGGGGGCGTTCCGGAACGCTCTGGTGAGCGCTGTACGTCGTCGTCCGAGGCCTGCCTGCTGTACAGTCGGGGCCCTGAAGAAGGAACCCGTTTCATTGGGGAGGGGCTCCGTGTTCCTTAATTGTTTCGCAGATTGCCTTGGATTTTCTTTAGGTTTCCGATACGAAATCGAAGTTCAACTTATGGAAAATAGGGGCCTCGTTCCTTATTTAGGGTTCCTTAAGTCAACGCCTCGACTGTACGCCCCCATTCACCGACCGCGTTCCACTACTCGCAAAGTGCCTGCTCACAGACGTCCGAAAAACACAGGTCTGCTTCCATGCAACTTCTCGCAGATCCCCCCCGGCGGGTCCAGGCCAGTTGCGAGTAGTCACTTTGCGAGGAGTGGGACGCGCTCGTCTAACCATGCCTTGCACAGGAGGGCTTGCACATGGATTCCAGGCCTGAGATGGGTCTGGCCGGGATCCGTGCACTTCAGCAGGAGCAGGTGGGTCTGGCGCAGACAGTTCCGCGGGGAGAGGTGCAACAATGTTTGCGACAATGCGTGCCCAGATACATTCGTTTGCGCGCTGGATGCAGGAGTTGCGCGGGGACGTGGTTTGTGCATCATGTCTCACACGCAATAGCTGTC